GCCCTGATACTCCCACCATATGCAGTGTGGCAGCCAGGCTCTGACTCCTAAGCAGCGGGCTCAGGAAATGAGGCGACATCGCACACCAGACCTAGCCTGCTCCCCAGGCGGGCACACCTCGCCCACGCGGGCACCGTCTCACAGGGCCTGTGGGTGTGTGATGACTAATAAACACGGTCACTTAAAAACTCTCTGCGCTCCTAGTAGCCCTCTGCCACCATGTTCTTCCCCAGCCAATGCTGAAGTTCAACGACCATCATGGGGGGAAAGGGGCCGAGGAATTGTCTGTGGTTAACAGAGGCCTCCACGCTGGACAGACGGTGCTGCCAGGGTCGTAAGACGCCGCTTTTGCTCAGGGCAGAGGCACTGGGGGGGCCGCTGCGAGGGCACCTGTGAGTCCCAGCTCCCCGCTGTCCTGCCCTTTCCCCCCGGTTTCTGTGTCCCCGTCACCCCGTCCCTGTGGTGGGGTGGTGGCACCTGCTCCAGGGAGCTCTCCCACACGCCTCAGTGAAGCTCAGGTGCCCTCGCTGTGCCCGGGAGGGCCCATGCCCACCAGCAGCTCAGCACTCACCCCGCAGAGACGTCTCTGGCCTCTGCTCCCCGGATGAGGCCCCGGGAGCCGGGCTGGCCTGCCCTGCGGCCGTGCCCCCTGCCACGCTGAGCTAGGCTGGCCCGTGGCAGGACTCACTGAGGGGCCATTAAAGTGTAAGCTCTCGGGGCAGAACCTGGAGCCCCGTGGGCCGAAGGCGTGGCTGGCCCGGAGCTCTGCTGCAGGCCCACCACCCAGCCCCCCCCAGGCTCAGTGCATCTTGGGAACCTCCAGGTGAAGAGGGAAGGCGGGGCTGGGGCTTGGCCATCGGACCTTTCTGATACACAGGGGCTGCAGCTCTGACTCCCAGGGGTGGAGGGGAGGCGCCTCTCACCCTGGCCAGCAATATGGCTGCTCAGCTGTGCCCTCTGTACCAGCCAGACCGAACTGCAGGCTTTTTTCCCACCTCCAGGCCCCTCGGACCCGGTCCCAGCCTGCCCCTCTCAGTGCTCTAGCCTTTGTGCCCAAACTTCTTCCCGGCCTCTCAC